CACAACAGAGAGTCCCTGATGAAGCAGGAGAAAAGTGGGGTGCAGAACTCAAATTCCAGTAAAAAGACAAGACTTAATGGTTTGACTGAGACTGGAGGGACCCTGGAAAACATGGCCCCCAGACTCTCTGTTAGCCCAAAACTAAAACCATTCCCAAGGCCAAGTCTTCACAGCAAGATTAGACTGGACTATGGGACATAAAATGATACTCATGAATACTGTGCTTCTTAGCTCAAGTAGATACATGGGACTAAATGGGCAGATTCTGTCCGGAGGTGAGATGAGAAGGCAGAGAGGGTAAGGAGCTGGTTGAATGGACATGGGAAATCTGGGGTGGAAAGGAGGAGTGCGCTGTCACAGTATAGGGAAAGCAACTAGGGTCATATGACAATGTGTGTATAAATTTTTATATCAGAAACTAACTTGAATTGTAAACTTTCACTTAAAGCACAATAGAAAAAAAAAATTACACTTCCTACCCCACTGACACTAACTTATCAAAAATAGGAATGTCACAGGAAACTTGAAAACGGCACCCCAGAAGTACAACCTTTATCCTAACATCAAACAGATGAAAATATTGGTTAAAGAGTAGTAACTGGGATAGAGCTAAGTCATGTTGCTGTTTCCTCTAAGTGTTTATTTAACAATAGTCTGGGTTACTTGAAGGTATTTCAGCTATATGAAACATCATACTAATGTTCCTACAGTGCTTTTTGAGAGATATGAGCTTTTAGTAAGACGTTCAAAATGTTTGGCCTGTCCTGTGTAACTCCTGTTTCCAGTATGATAAACTTTACTGATGGGTTAAGAAGCCACTTAATAATACATCTATTTTGAGTTACAGGTGTTAAGTTACACAGGTATCTCCTACATTTTAAGCATGGGTCATCTCTACTAGAGATGTTTACTTTGCAACCAATACAAAACATACACACCAGAAATTAAACTCACACTGTCAAGACTGAAATTCTATGTCTCTAGACAAAGACTGCTACACATAAATGAAACATGAGCTTAATTCTATATGCAGGTACTAAAATGAGTAATTACTTATCAAATTTTTTCAGTGAAAACCAACATCAGAAATCAATGCATACCAAAGCAAAGCAAATAAGTTTCTTAGACACGTCCAAACACCTTGAGGCACTGAGTAGCTGCGGCTGGAGGCTGGGCACCACAGTCTCGGGGAACATCTAGGTCAACTGGCATAACGCAGTTCATAAAGAAAACGTTCTACATCCCACTTTGGTGAGTAGCGTCTGGGGTTTTAAATGCTTGCCAGTGGCCATCTAAGACACATCGATTGGTCCCATCACGTTTGGAGAAGAGAATGAAGAAAACCAAAGACTCAAGGAAAATATTAGCCCAAAGGACTAAAGGACCACATGAACCACAG